CAGCTTAAGGGCTGACCAAGAATTCATAATTTTATGTAATAAAAATAGGAAGAGATCAACATAAAGGTACAGATAGCTAACCTATTCCCTAGATCTGACCAATAAAAAAATTAAAAAAAAAACAACAACCAACAGTCTTTTACTAGCAGGAAGTGTGCCTAAGTACCACATTCTAGTCTCCAAATCCATTTCCCATGAACAGGAACCATGGTTCTTTGAAAATGTGCTATTTGAAGGAGCCATTTCCTGCACATCAGCCCCAGCTTCTTTGTCTACCTGACTTCAATTCATTCAAACCACCTTCAACTTTGAGACCCAACCATTCTTCTACCCATTCTTCTCTGCTCACATCTGTCACAGAATTGACTAAGTCCACATGCTGATATTTATTTCCTCACAAAACACCAATGATAGGAAAGATACAGGTGATCTCTCACCCCTCAACCTAACAGGCCTATAGGAATATTTGCCAATGAGAATCACCTAGATGAACTCCAGGATGGAAAACTTAAAAGAAAAATTATTAACTTCATCAAAATTCAAGGAGTTTTAAGAAAACAGAAAGAGGGGTTTAATGGAGTTGGATTTAGCAAGGGAGCTCTTGGGATCCACGCTACTTCTGGGACATGTGTGAGCAAAGATAAAAAGGCCCTCTTGGGTTGGAAAAAGAATGGCTTGGGGTTGGGGAGGATGGATGTAAAAAATATGCATATATTAATTTTTTTGGTTTTGATTTGGTTTGGTTTGATTTTAGTTTTTCTGAGACAGGGTTTTCTGTGTGGCCCTGGCTGTCCTGGACTCGCTTTGCAGACCAGGCTGGACTCGAACTCACCGAGATCCCCTTGCCTCTGCCTCCCCATAGCACTGGGACTACAGGCCACTGAGCCTGGCTGGCCCAGCTTCTGTGATCATTCAGCTGGCACTTTAAGGGGGATGGGTAGTTCTTTTTCAACTTGAAAGTAAGCTCACTGCAGGAGTCGGAAGAGGACTCAGCTGTGGGATGAGGGAGAGCCAGAAGGAATATTTCAGATGGGAGCTACACCTGGGACACTGACTGGATCATTTACTGTTCTAACTTTGCCTCCAAAAGACCTGCTCAGAGCCAAGAAACCTGGGCCCAGGGGGTCTTGCAGAGACTAATACTCCACCCAAGGAACATGATAACCTAGACCCCATGCTCAGATGTAGCCCATGGCAGCTCAGTCTCCAAGTAGGTACCCTAGTAATGGGAACAAGGTCTGTCTCTGACATGAACTCAATGGCTGGCACTTTGAACCTCCCTCCTCCCCGAGGGGGGAGCAGCCTTACCAGGCCACAGAGGAGGACAATGCAGCCAGTCCTGATGAGACCTGATAGGCTAGGGTCAGATGGAAGGGGAGGAGGACCTCTCCTATCAGTGGACTGGGGGAGGGACAGGGAGGAGAGAGAGGGAGACTGGGGGAGAGAGGGTGGGATTGGGAAGGAATGAGGGAAGAAGGCACAGCTTGATACAAAGTGAATAAAGTGTAATAAATAAATAAATAAATAAATAAATAAATAAATAAATAAATAGAAAGAAAGAAAGAAAACAGAAAGAAATAAAACTAAGGAGAATAGACACCTGAGTGATGCCTAAAAAAGCACAAACATAAGGCTCATGGAAAAGATAAAGAAGATGTGGGACTTGAGAATGGAATTCAATAAGGAGATAAAAACATTGAAGAGGGTTCAAGATGAAATGGGGATGGAACTGTAAAACCCAATAACCCAACCAGGAAGCTGAAGGGAAGAGTCCCAAAGTAGGAAAAGTCAAGCAAAAGATGAAATATCAGGACTCAAAGATAAAATAGGAATTAGGAGCAAATAAAAAAAAATATGAAAGACTGAAAAAAAAATCAGGAAAAGATCATACAGAAAATGTGAGACACTATGAAAAAAGAATCTTCAATTTGTAGGAATAGATGAGAGAGAAGGTCAATGGCATAGACTAATCTTCAACAAGATCATAAAAACAAACTTTCCCACACTAAGGAAAGACATATCACATACAGATGCAAGAAGCATACAGAACACCAAATATACAAAACCAGAAAAATACCCCAGTTTATCATAGTTAAAACACTAAGTATACAGAACAAAGAAAGAATATTGAAAGCTTCAAGAGAAGACAAAAACAAAAACCCAAGTCACGTACAGAGGATAACAACAGATTTCTCACTGGAAACTTTGAAAGCCCAAAGAGCCTGAAGCAATGCATTGCAATACTAAAAAGGCCAGGATGTACACCTAAGGAAACTAATCAAGAAAGAGGATCCTGGCTAAGATGCTCAATCCCCATTCAGAAAGGCAAAGAGGATGGACATCAGAGAAGGGAGAAAACAGGCAACAGTACAGGAGCCTACCACAGAGAGCCTCTGTAAGGCTCTACCCTGCAGGATATCAAAGCAGATGCTGAGACTCATAGCCAAACTGTGAGCAAACTGTAGGCAGAGTGCAGGGAATCTTATGAAATAAGTGGGAAATAGTAAGACTTGGAGAAGACAAGAGCTCCATAAGGAAAGCAACAGATCCAAAAAGTCTGTGCATAGGGGTCTTTTCTGAGATTGATACTCCAGCCAAGGATCACTCATGGAGATGGCCTGGAACCCCTGCACAGAGGTAGCCCTTGGCAGTTCAGTGTTCAAGTGGGTTCCATAGTAATGGGAACAGGGACTGTCTCTAACAGGAACTGATTGGCCTGCTCTTTGATCACCTTCCCCTGAGGGGGGAGCAGCCTTACCAGGCCACAGAAGATGACAACGCAGCCACTCCTGATGAGACCTGATAGACTAGGATCAGAGGGAAGGGGAGGAGGACCTTCCTTATCAGCAGACAGGGGGAGGGGCACAGGTAGGGGAGAGGTAGGGAGGAAGGATTGGAAGAGGAAGAGGGAGGTAGGTACGGGGGGGGGCTACAAAATGAATAAACTGTAATTAATAAAAATAAAAATAATTAAAAAAAAATACCAGGCTGGCAACCTGGATTTATATACCCAATAAGCCTATCTCCCATAGTTGAAAAGCAAAAAAGCTTTCCATGATATAACGGTCTAATAAAACCTATATGCAACAAACAAAACCTAAACTATTAGAGGCAATATTTCAGGCTAAAGAGAGAAATGAGTCAAAAGCTGCTAAGTCAAAGGAACACTACCCACCAATCCAGATAACTGCTCAACGAGACAGTGCCAGGACTCACTCTAAAGGCAAGAATCCACTTCCAGAGCCACTTCCAGACATCATGCCAGAAACAGAACAAGTGCCTGATCAAGAACTGAGGCCAGAGCTGAAACAGGAACCACATGCTTGTCAGAATAGTCCTCAGAATCAGAGAAGACAGGAAGGAGACTGATCCTGGTGGTGAAACAGCCTTTGAGGAACTGGGAAAAGAACAGAGTGGTTGATTGTCACAGCCATGTGTCCAGTGGTAACCCCACCAGGCTCCAATGGGTGGTTCCAATCCAGTGGTCCCACAGATAACCCTCATTAAACTAAACCCATCACAAAACAAGACCCAAGGCCCTGAATCTTGGAAAATGACTGATTGGGGGAGGGGTGATTGGAGAGAAATAAAGGAATGGTAACAAGTAATCAGAATGCATTATGTACAAGTATGAAGTTGTTAAGGAACTAATTTAATTGATTACAAAAGTTGCTTAGTGTAAGGAAGCAGCTCTTTATGGAAAGTAGACTTCCATTTTAAACGTCCTGACTACGAATGCATTTTATTTGGTTCAACAAGGTTGATTGGCCAACCTTGATTAATTTCAATGTTGTACAGAGTGCTGTGCCGGGAAGAAACATTAGGAGATACAATGATGAATGACACTCCCTTCTGGTCTCACTGTCTTATTGATTAATTAAAGGCAAAATTTATCTGTGCTTGGAGGTGCTTCTTGCTTAAGTGGCAGTACTGACAAACTGACTTGGTGAAAGTGAAATGACACAACTCCACACCACTGTGCCCAGGTACTTTAAGTGAGATACCTTATTCTGTGTGAAGACAGTTAAACTACGGTGCGATGGATCCCCTGTGTCTGCACTTACTCTTGTTCTCCTGGAAGGGACGCCCTGAAATAGTGTCCCATCCAGAAAGAGACAAAGAAAGCAGATTTGGAGCAGGTGGTTGTTTTCTTGCTTCTCGTATCAATGTCAGAAACCACCTCAACTAACGTTGATTTTTTTTTTTAATCTTATTTGATGTTTATGTCAAATCTTAAAAATTAGACTGTTTATTTTAATGATTTAAAAAACCAACTACCACACTTGTCTGAATAAAATACATAACAGAAGGTGGAAAGGAGGCCTTTCTAGAAAGTTCTAGTCCTAGCCCTTTGTGTGATTCCAGCATAGAGGGAGCCTTGGGGTAGGAGTGTGAGGGGGTGTAACGTCATAGAAACTCAATGCAGGAAATGTGGCTTAGCTATCGCCCCTCCCCCCACAGCAAATACTTAGTCTGCTTTTGCTCTGGCAAACGTATCGCTAACAAGTGTGGAGGGAATGGAGAATAAAGGGTAAAAATACAAAAGCCAGAAAACGGCGGAAACGGTATTTTTTGGTGTGTGAATGTAAAAAATTATAGGGCATTGCCTGTCATCGACGCTGCTTGCTCTTAAGGGTTGTGGTTTCGCGTCTCACCTGGCAATAAGCCATCAGGGAGTCAGGGTGGTAAGGTCTGGAGCGAGCCGCGGAGAGCACTAAGACAATTCACCGAACATTTCCTTTTAAAACGTGGTTTACCAGTTTTGATGTTGTTTTAGAAACCAAACAAGTGCCAGCAGAACTTCCGCCCGTCCTTTCTTCCAGAACAAACAGCTTGGGCTTTCAGAAGTCCCTGGGATTTCCTAGGTAACAGGAGCATAAACTTGAGAAAAGGCAGGACACGTGTACGAAAGACAGCGTGTTGAGCCAATCAGACCACGAGTCTGCGGCAGTGTTTCTAGGCCATCCAATTAGAACTGAAAGCTTTGAAGGGCAGGGACAGCAAAGGAAGACAGGTAAGGGAGGAGACTACAGTCCCAGGTGCAGAAGTCCGTGTCCATAGTTTCAGCTGGGAGCATCCTGTGACTACAAATTACTGTTACCATTTCAGGTAATTAAGTGTTCTTATTTAGTCTATTAACTGTCACACTTGTTTCATCTTTTTTTTTTTTTTTTTTTTTTTTTTATTGGTGAGTTTTTTTTTTTAAAAAAAAAATTTAAAAGGGTTGGAAATTTATTTTTTATTATCACCCT